GGCTCAGGAAAAGACAAGACAAGGAACAGCTACGCCGTCTTCCAGTACAAGGAAAAGTTCTACCAGTGGAAGTGGAACAACGACAGCCAGTACTGGTACTTCTTCGATTCAGAAGGAAAAAGTCCCGGTGAAGGAAAATGGGTGAAGCAGCACAAGGACAAGAACGGCAGGAAAGTTTGCGACGAGCAGCTCAAGAAGTTCGAGAAGTTCGTTGAGGAGAAAAGGAAAGAAAAGGACAAAAGCCAGGAGAAAGGAGAAGAAGGAAAAGGAAGCAGCAGCAGCAGCAGCAGCAAGGACGTCGACGATGGCTACTACGAGATCACAAGCTTTTCGTGAAAAGGAAAGTGAGCTTGGCACAGTGAGCTAGGACGGACTGAGAGCTTGACTAGCTCCAGGAAAGTTTTCTTTTGCAGTTTGTTTCAGGATGATGATCCGAGTAAAGTAGGAACAGCAGCGTTTTGTTTTGTACAGGATAGTAGACATTTCGTTTGAAGGAAATGTGAGCGAACTTGGAGAGATTCGCCAGTGGACTTGAAAGAGTCTGCGTTGAGGAAAGAGTTTCAAACACTTGTGTGTGTTCAGGAAAGAGAGTCGAAGCCAGCTTAGTCTACGACTTTCACTAACTTCGAAGGCGGGGTGTTAAACATTCCAGCCTAGTAGGAACACACTGTTGTATGTGTAGGAGAATGCACAGATTGAGCCAGGAACCAACTTTGTGGCCCAGGCTCAAAGGAGTGACAGGACAGAAACCACAGCAGAGCGGTGAAGCGAAAAGTGAGCCGCAGTGGTGGTTTAGGAAACCCTTTAGGAAAGCCCGTTCTTTAACACGTTTGGGCTACGCTCGACGAACTTGTCGGCTTGCGGAAAGTGGATGTATGCATCCCCCGCCCAAAGTCGTATGATGCTGCTACGGCAGACTGGGCCGCCCTCAAACGCCTTGCGCGCACTTAACAGCCACTGTTTACAAAATGTATTGCGGGAATCCCACAGAATCTGAGCTCTCTGCCTTAAAGAGGTCTCGTTCTTCTCCTATTCAAAAAGACTGCCAATACGCTGTAGGGTGCTGCCAAAAAAAGGTGGCGCAACTGGCTAGCGTACCAATGCCCAAGAGTGTCTCCATGGAAAGCGGAGAAAGGAGCACAACTGCGGTGCACTGTGCGGCCCCTGCCACTCTTGGAAACAAGGCGAACCCCCGATTGATAAGGACGATGACGATGCTGAAGTCGGGAGATCATGGACACCTACACCGCTTCCAACACCGGCCAACTCAAGACCCCACTGGCTGATCACCATGGAGCAAACTGGTCCCTTTCCTGCGGAAGGGTTGGCACTGGTCGTTCATCGCATGTCTGGTTATGACAATAGTTGATCACTATGGGGCAAACCCGGACCGGCCTCAACTTGCTTAGATGATCATGTGATGGTGATTTTGACTTCTAGCGCACAATTGCATTTGTAATTTCCTCCCTCGACTTGGTGCTGCATCGGCTCGGTTCTTTTTCCTCTTGTGGTTTTGTTTTTCTCCAGTCTTGAGAATGCCAGAAGAAGCTCTTACGCAATTTACCAGATCATCTAACAGCTGTCATAACCATCATAAATGAATGTAAGTCCATGAAGCTCACACCTGTGTGTAGAAATTAAATCTAGTTTTGTTCTTTCAAGCTCTTCCTCGGAAAGGCTTCAATTGTTCTTAAAGAATTCATGGTTCACGGAGTCCTCTCCGTAGGTGCTCCGGTGCTTCTATCGTTTTGGAGGAAAACGTGTTTTTCAAGGCGTGTGATGTTATCTGATCCATCTTCCTTGCTGAGACCACTTGTCATCAGTGCACTCTTCAAACGTAAATCTGTCTTCAGCTTTCTTGGGTGTTCCTATAAGGCAAGGAGGAAATGTCTTAGACGCAGATATGACCAAGAGGCTTCTAGGTCTTCATGCCTTTTGTGGTGCAAGAGCTGCTATTGTTCGTTGTCCAACCAAGACAGCTCTGAAGGATGTCTTCCATGACGATACATCATAGCTGGGTCAGCAATACTCGTCCATCCAATTCGACCTCTTCAGGCACAAGGTTTCTGAGCGTTTCACAGAGTTAGACGTTGGAATTCTTGTTGTTTGGAATGTCGACAAAAGCTTTAGTGGTGCGGGAGTTGTTGTTGTACGCTGCTATGGAAATATTTCCTTCAACCAAGAAAGTCCCTGCCTCGGTGCCGTTCCGAAATTCCCAACCTTTAACAAGAGAAGCGTGAAAGGATGAAGAAATGAAAAGAAGAGCCGGAAAAGAGGAGAAGGAAAAGCAGAGGAAGGATCAGCAGCGCTCAGTCGAGCAGTGAGGTGTGAGTTTCAAGAAGAGAAGGAAGCCAGAACGGGGGATGGAGTACCCGTTCTGCTGGCAACTTTCTTAGCACTTTGTTTTCGCTTTTGTTGACCAAAGGAAAATGATCCGAGTAATCAACTTAGCCCACGACAGTCGAAGCTAGCTTAGTCTAGGAACGACTTTCACCAGCTTCGAAGGGGGGGTGTTAAACATTTACGCAGTACAGGAAGCTGTGCACCAGGTGCATGTGAAATGCACACAGGAGCCTCTGAACGTCTTGTCGACGATGGGCTCAAAGAAGGACACGCGCCGCAGCGAACCCAGGAAAAGTGCGGAGTGTCCCAGCATTTGAGATAGCTTTAGATAGTCCCGATCTTTAACAGTTTCAGGGTTTAGCGTTTTAGGGTTTTAAGGTTTAGGGTAGGGTTCTAGGGTTTAGGGTTTTCGGGTTTAATGAGCCCTTGTCCCGAAACCTTGCACCGAAATTCCTACCCTGAAGCCCGAGATGGGGATTTGCTGCTCTTTTTATTGCCCCATGCACGGAATGGCTTCTGGATGTTGGGGCCAAAAGATTTGAGGTTTTTGGTTCAAAGTCGCCCCGCGTAGCCGGTTGTGCGTTAATGTATCGGTAAGCCTATCCATTGCTCGACATCTTTGAGTAAGCTATCCGAACTCCGGGCTATCTGATGCCTTTGCATCAGGCTTTCCCGGGCGGTAAAGATGCCGTGGTGGGTATGTTCTCATTGCGGGGGTGAGATGGAGCGCAAGCTCCGGCGTGTTCACATGACGAGATTTGAAGGCACCGACTTTCTTCAAGCTTATGATGTTCTCGTTGTTGCTGTGATGTCATGAGACATATCCATGGGAAGCGCTTCCGACATAAGTAACGAGCGACCCGGCAGGAGCACAACTTTCAGGTCCTCATGGTCGCAACAAAAGGTTGTGACGACTTCGGTAAACTAGCAATCGAGTATTTGAACCAGATTGAGGTGAATCGCGGAGTGTGTACCTGAACAGCTGCAAGACATGTCGGACATGGGCATTCTAGTTATTGAATAGATGTCTGTAGTTCCAAAGCCCTACAACCAGACCTCTATGTAAACTTGCCCACAATCTCAGGGCATTGGGCTCAGAGGCTCATTTAGCACAACTCAAGCTCAAGCTTGGCACACCCAGACCTGCAGACGGAGAGCGTCGCATGGCCCCGAGAGGGTCAGTATTGGGACTTTGCCTTTGCACTTCAGCCTTCATCTTAAGGATAAGTCCTAGATGTGTTTGTTTGCGGATTGAACGTCGTCTCGTTATCTCATTTTAAACTCCAAAATGCTGGCTATATCAACACGCGCGCGCGATGCATTCTCGCAACTTAACCCCGCTGTGGTCTCCCTCGCCATGGTGGTGTGGGTGTGGCTTTAGGGTTCAAGTTCAAAGGCTTGGCTGCTTTGGGTCCAAATGTTGAGGGTCAGGTTCTGGGTTTTAGGTTCGGGTTCAAGGTGGGGGGTGAGGGGGGGAAGCAACTGGCAACTGGCTCACTTTCTCTATATGTCGGATTGAGAGCTACAACCAATACCGCAAGCAACGACTGGCCTTTGCTAGGGTTTCTTGGAGAGCGAACCGTGCAACACACACTGGGCGCTACACAAATCTATGAACGCCCGAAACACCTTGCTTTTGGATGAGAATATCCTTTTTGCAGGAAGAGGTGGCCAAAACGAAAGGAGGCCAGGATTCACGGTCCAAAAGAGCCGCTAAGGGCGGAGGCTTTGCATTGTAAGTGGTTTTTTTGCAAGGCTTAATGGTTCTGGTCTAAGAGCCCCGAAAGCTGTCCATAAGCTTTCGGGCGTGCGGGGAAACGTCGGGTAGTGAGACGCCAGGTTTACTGCTTGCGAGTGGTTGGGAATTGTAAACTGGTTCCGTTCATATTTTTTTGGCGCTGATCAAACGAGTAAGGTAAAGATTGCCCCGAGCCTCCAACCCTGGCGTTCTACGCGCGATTTCTGAATTGTGCGCAACTCCGACTTTTTTCTCATCCCGAAGCGAGTTCGATTCATTTTTGAACTCCTCCACAGCGGGTTCGAGTTCTTGGGTCGAGTGCTGTGTGCTCTCAGATTGAAGACCGAGACAAGCCTATTCCCAGACAGCCAAACCCCCGCGATGGAAAGAGGGTGGCGATGGTAAAGCCACATGCGCGGCGGCGAGGTCTCAAGTCCGTGAGTTTAGGACAGCTGCGGCCATGGGCGATTCAGCCAGGAGTATACTAGGTTTACGCTTACTGTTCCCAAAGCCCTGAACCCGAAATCCTAAACCCTAAGACCCAAAACGCAGCTCGGTTTATCAAGCCAAAAGGCGTTTGATACCAATCTCCATCTCCGACGGATTCCCTGACTTAGAGCCAGCTTGCCAAGGGATGGGGTAAACCTCATCCTGAATCCTACTGAAATCACCCCAAATCCACAAGAGCCCTGACGAGAGATGTGCCGCAGCTGTGGTTCCAAGAACGTGAAGATACGGACTGAAAAAGACACCCCGGAGCCATGGCCGATCGTGAGAAGGCGCATCTTACTGTGGCGGTAGCTGGTCATTTCGACAGCGGCAAGAGCACGATGGTGGGGCGCTTGATCTTCGAGCTGGGTGGTCTTCCTGACCGTGAGCTGGAGAAGCTGAAGGCGGAAACAGGGCCTTCGCCTTCTACATGGACAGCCAGAAAGAGGAGAGAGAGAAGGGCCAGACCATGGTGTGTAACAGCAAGGAGTTCTTCACGGAGAGGTGGCACTACACCATCACAGACCTCCCCGGCCGCCGGAACTTCATCAAGAACATGGTGAAGGGCACTTCTGCCGCAGATGCGGCAATCCTCATGGTGCCAGCCGACGACGACTTCGCCGCCGCCATTCAAGGGGGCAGCCCCCAGGCTGGAGGTGAGGGGCAAACTCGCCTGCATGCTCGGTTGATCAACCTTCTTGGCGTGAAGCAGCTCTGCGTCTGCGTGAACAAGATGGATTCTGACCCCGCCAACTATGCCAAGGAAAGGTATGACGAGGTCTACGACAAGACGAGGCGCATGCTGATTCGGATGGGCTGGAAGAAGCCCTTTGTTGAAAAAAGTGTTCCAATGATTCCAATCTCAGGCTTGCAAGGTGACAACTTGATTGCAAAGTCTGAGAAGATGGCATGGTGGAAGGGCCAAGACGTCACTACTTCAAAGAAGGAGACATGTCATGTGGAGACCCTGCAGCAAGTGCTGAACGACGCCTTCTGCGTGCCACCACGCCCAACTGATGCACCGATGCGAATGCCAATCCAGGGACTCTTCAAGATCAAGGGCGTGGGTGACGTCGTGTCAGGACGAGTTGAGCAAGGATTGGTCAAACCTGGTGAGGAAGTGGTCTTTCTTCCCTCCGGGGCTTCCGGCAGCGTCTTCACGGTCGAGATGCACCACCAAAGGCAAGACCAGGCAGTTCCAGGTGATGTTGTTGGCTTGAACATCAAGGGCTTGGACAAAAGCAAGATGCCCAAAGCCGGCGATGTCATGATCTACAAGAAGGACGACACTCTGAAAGTGGTCAAGCAGTTCGACGCCCAGGTCCAAATCATGGACCTCACCCAAAAGGCGGGACAGTTCAAGCCCGGATTCGTCCCCACTGCCGTGGTGAAAACCGCCCAGTCCCCATGCACGGTGGCCGCCATCAGGTGGAAGATGGGCAAGGAGACCAAGGGGAAGAACGTGTGCTCCGCGTGCTCCGTATGGCTTGTGCTGGACCCTTGATTTCCTTGATCTTCCGGCGGGCTCCCAGAAGCCTCTGTTGACACAAGTTGAGACTGAGATCAGGTCATATCAACTCCGTTTTGGAAACGTCTGGCAGCGCCAAATCTAACGCTCTTCCTCTATCTACCAGCTGAGCAGAGCAGCACCGGTGGAGAACCCTAGCGACCTCAAGTCCAACCAGCTCGGTCAGTGCACCTTCTGGCTACAGAAGCCCATGGTCCTTGACACCTTCAAGAACTGTGAAGGCTTGTCTCGCATCGCCTTCTTCCAGACCGACCACCTGGTCATGGCCGGCAAGGTGGTCAGCTGCCAGTCCCTCGGATTCCCAGTGGTGCCCTCTTTCATCGATCTTTATCATGATTGTCATTGTTGTTTTTAGTATTTTGTTTTCAAGCTATTTTTATTAATATAGTCACTCTGCGACGGGGCAACCAGGTCCGAGTCTGAGGCAGGAGCCGGGGAGGTCATGACTGCCTTCAAGAAGTTTCTGGGGTTTGATGTGCATCATCGCTTTGATGGGCTCTTCTTTTTTTAAAACCTCCTTAGTTTCTGTAGAGGCTTTCTCTGCACTGAACCCGCAAAACCAGGTTTGACCAGGATGGCAACGGCCGCATCAGCCGCGCAGAGCTCTCGACCGTCCTCAAGAGGCTGAACCCCACTTGGAATGACGCGGAGCTTGAGAGCCTCATGGCGAATGCCGACAAGAACAGCGATGGATCACTGCAGGTTGAGGAGTTCGTGAGCTGGCTCTTTGCGTCGGGTATGAACGCCTGAGCTGTGAGCGCATCGATGAACAACCTTTTGTACAAATCTTTCTCCAGTTTCTGTACCCAAGTCAGCCCGATACTCTTCATTTACGCGACCTACCGCAACATCCCAACCATAAAGGGCCACCCCTAGCTAGAAGCACGGGCACCAGAGAAACCCGGGACTCGCTTGTGACAGCTGGGCACTTAGTGCTCCGCCATGAGGTCTGTCAACTCCCCTTTTAGGTGCTGCCGAAGAAAAATACAAAGAATCTGCAGGTCCTCGCAACAAAGCAGCCGGAGGGCGCTAACATCATCATCCCAATGGTTACTTTGCAAGATCTTTGGGCTACCAAGGCTCATCATCCCATGGCCGGTTTTATGTTTGTGTGGGGGGTGGGGGGTGATCTGAAGGTCCTCATAGTCTGGAGTCTGGGATTTTTGCTTCGTGTTCCTATGGACTTCTTTCTAGTGGAAAGATAGGCTGTTTACTTGAGAGTAGTTTGGGCCAGCTGCCATCTCTCCATTCAACCGCTCTCCGACTTGCAAGTCTTGCAGAGTGCAGCGATCTTCTTTTCGACTTAGCGAGACTGGCCGAGACTTGATTACAAGTGCCTGCATAAACAAAAAAGATATCAATATCCGTATATATATATATATGTGTATATGTATGTAGGACCTTTATGCGTTATTTGACGGTCCTGCTTCGCCTTCCAAAATTTTAAGGATTTTAAGGAATTTAGGGGTTTTCCAAAATTTTAAAAGGACCACAAAATCCTTAAAATTTTGAAAGCCCGGACCTTTCAAAATTTTAAGGATTTTAAGGAATTTAAGGCCTGTTAAATTTCTTAAAATCCTTAAAGCCCTTAAAATTTTGAAAGAAAATTAAACTATTTTCCGGAAAGAGGCAGGCCCATTTAAAATTTTAAAAATCCATAAAATCCTTAAAATCCTTAAAATTTTGAAAGGTTGGGGCTTTCAAAATTTTAAGGATTTTAAGGAATTTAAGGCCTTTTCAATTTCTTAAAATCCTTAAAATCCTTAAAACCCTTAAAATTTTGAAAGAAAATTAAACTATTTTCCGGAAAGAGGCAGGCCCATTTAAAATTTTAAAAATCCTTAAAATCCTTAAAATCCTTAAAATTTTGAAAGCCCGGACCTTTCAAAATTTTAAGGATTTTAAGGAATTTAAGGCCTGTTAAATTTCTTAAAATCCTTAAAGCCCTTAAAATTTTGAAAGAAAATTAAACTATTTTCCGGAAAGAGGCAGGCCCATTTAAAATTTTAAAAATCCATAAAATCCTTAAAATCCTTAAAATTTTGAAAGGTTGGGGCTTTCAAAATTTTAAGGGTTTTAAGGAATTTAAGGCCTTTTCAATTTCTTAAAATCCTTAAAATCCTTAAAACCCTTAAAATTTTGAAAGAAAATTAAATTATTTTCCGGAAAGAGGCAGGCCCATTAAAAAATTTAAAATCCTTAAAATCCTTAAAATTTTGAAAGCCCGGGGCTTTCAAAATTTTAAGGATTTTAAGGAATTTAAGGCCTTTTAAACTTCTTAAAATCCTTAAAATTTTGAAAGAGAATTAAATTATTTTCCGGAAAGAGGCAGGCCCATTTAAAATTTTAAAAATCCTTAAAATCCTTAAAATCCTTAAAATTTTGAAAGCCCGGGGCTTTCAAAATTTTAAGGATTTTAAGGAATTTAAGGCCTTTTAAACTTCTTAAAATCCTTAAAATTTTGAAAGAGAATTAAATTATTTTCCGGAAAGAGGCAGGCCCATTTAAAATTTTAAAAATCCTTAAAATCCTTAAAATCCTTAAAATTTTGAAAGGTTGGGGCTTTCAAAATGTTAAGGATTTTAAGGAATTTAAGGCCTTTTAAATTTCTTAAAATCCTTAAAACCCTTAAAATTTTGAAAGAAAATTAAAATATTTTCCGGAAAGAGGCAGGCCCATTTAAAATTTTAATAATCCTTAAAATCCTTAAAATCCTTAAAATTTTGAAAGGCCCGGGCTTTCAAAATTTTAAGGATTTTAAGGATTTTTAAAATTTTAAATGGGCCTGACTCTTTCCGGAATATATTTTAATTTTATTTCAAAATTTCAAGGATTTTAAGGATTTTAAGAAATTTAAAAGGCGTTAAATTCCTTAAAACCCTTAAAATTTTGAAAGCCCCAACCTTTCAAAATTTTAAGGGTTTTAAGGATTTTAAGGATTTTTAAAATTTTAAATGGGCCTGCCTCTTTCCGGAAAATGATTTAATTTTCTTTCAAAATTTTAAGGATTCTAAGGATTTTAAGAAATTTAACAGGCCTTAAATTCCTTAAAATCCTTAAAATTTTGAAAGGCCAGGGCTTTCAAAATTTTAAGGATTTTAAAGATTTTAAGGATTTTTAAAATTTTAAATGGGCCTGCCTCTTTCCGGAAAATAATTTAATTTTCTTTCAAAATTTTAAGGATTTTCAGGATTTTAAGAAATTTAAAAGGCCTTAAATTCCTTAAAATCCTTAAAATTTTGAAAGGCCCGGGCTTTGAAAATTTTAAGGATTTTAAGGATTTTAAGGATTTTAAGGATTTTTAAAATTTTAAATGGGCCTGCCTCTTTCCGGAAAATAATTAAATTTTCTTTCAAAATTTTAAGGGTTTTAAGGATTTTAAGAAATTTAAAAGGCCTTAAATTCCTTAAAATCCTTAAAATTTTGAAAGGCCCGGGCTTTCAAAATTTTAGGAATTTTAAGGATTTTAAGGATTTTTAAAATTTAAATGGGCCTGCCTCTTTCCGGAAAATAATTTAATTTTCTTTCAAAATTTTAAGGGTTTTAAGAGATTTAAAAGGCCTTAAATTCCTTAAAATCCTTAAAATTTTGAAAGGCCCGGGCTTTCAAAATTTTAGGAATTTTAAGGATTTTAAGGATTTTTAAAATTTAAATGGGCCTGCCTCTTTCCGGAAAATAATTTAATTTTCTTTCAAAATTTTAAGGGTTTTAAGAGATTTAAAAGGCCTTAAATTCCTTAAAATCCTTAAAATTTTGAAAGCCCCGGGCTTTCAAAATTTTAAGGATTTTAAGGATTTTAAGGAGTTTTAAAATTTAAATGGGCCTGCCTCTTTCCGGAAAATATTTTAATTTTCTTTCAAAATTTTAAGGGTTTTAAGGATTTTAGGAATTTAAAAGGACTTAAATTCCTGAAAATCCTTAAAATTTTGAAAGCCCCAACCTTTCAAAATTTTAAGGATTTTAAGGATTTTAAGGATTTTTAAAATTTTAAATGGGCCTGCCTCTTTCCGGAAAATAAGTTAATTTTCTTTCAAAATTTTAAGGATTCTAAGGATTTTAAGAAATTTAAAAGGCCTTAAATTCCTTAAAATCCTTAAAATTTTGAAAGCCCCAACCTTTCAAAATTTTAAGGATTTTAAGGGTTTTAAGGATTTTTAAAATTTTAAATGGGCCTGCCTCTTTCCGGGAAATAATTTAATTTTCTTTCAAATTTTTAAGGGTTTTAAGGATTTTAAGAAATTTAGAAGGCCTTAAATTCCTTAAAATCCTTAAAACTTTAAAAGGCAAGGGCTTTCAAAATTTTAAGGATTTTAAAGATTTTAAGGATTTCTAAAATATTAAATGGGCCTGCCTCTTTCCGGAAAATCATTTAATTTTCTTTCAAAATTTTAAGGATTTTAAGGATTTTAAGAAATTTAAAAGGCCTTAAATTCCTTAAAATCCTTAAAATTTTGAAAGGCCCGGGCTTTCAAAATTTTAAGGATTTTAAGGATTTTAAGGATTTTTAAAATTTTAAATGGGCCTGCCTCTTTCCGGAAAATAATTTAATTCTCTTTCAAAATTTTAAGGATTTTAAGAAGTTTAAAAGGCCTGAAATTCCTTAAAATCCTTAAAATTTTAAAAGGCCCGGGCTTTCAAAATTTTAAGGGTTTTAAGGATTTTAAGGATTTTTAAAATTTTAAATGGGCCTGCCTCTTTCCGGAAAATATTTTAATTTTCTTTCAAAATTTTAAGGGTTTTAAAGATTTTAAGAAATTTAAAAGGCCTTAAATTCCTTAAAATCCTTAAAATTTTGAATGGCCCGGGCTTTCAAAATTTTAAGGATTTTAAGGATTTCAAGGATTTTTAAAATTTTAAATGGGCCTGCCTCTTTCCGGAAAATAAGTTAATTCTCTTTCAAAATTTTAAGGATTTTAAGAAGTTTAAAAGGCCTTAAATTCCTTAAAATCCTTAAGATTTTAAAAGGCCCGGGCTTTCAAAATTTTAAGGGTTTTCAGGATTTTAAGGATTTTTAAAATTTTAAATGGGCCTGACTTTTCCGGAAAATAAATTCATTTTTCCAATAGTTTTACTGAGTTTAGTTTTTTTTTTACTCTCTATCTCCTCATTTTTTAGGCATGAAGAGAAGCATAGACGCCATAGACCGTGGGAGGGAGAGGGCCTCTTGGCTTGCCCATCTCTTTCTCCGTTTAGACAAGAACATAATCTGGAGAGAAGGGGGGCTTACACCTTCTTCTCACCATGCTCCTCGCTCTTCTCTCTTCCCCGCCCCCCTCTCGCGCTCTTTTTTTCTTTCTTTCAGCGGGCTTGAGGGCAAGGTTTTCCCCACCCCCACCCCCACGCATCACTCTCTCTCTCTCTCCCTCTCTCTCTTTCTCTCTCTTTCTCACTCTCTGTCTCTGTCTTTCTTTTCTCTTCTGAGTGGTATGTCTCGTAGAACTAGAAGGGGGGGAGAGTGAGAGGAATGAAAGGAAGAACTATAAAGAAAAAGATTTGAAGACGGAGAGGGAGAATGAGACATCGCCCCGTCGCTCTTGCTATCGATCTTACTCTCTCTATCTCTCTCTCTCTCTCTCTCTCTCTCTTTCTTATCTGAGTGGTACGTCTCGTAGAGTTGGAAGAGGAGGAGGAGGAGGCGGTTGAAAGGAATGGAAAGGAAGAAAGAGATTTGCTGAGGCAGAGCGGGAGTGAGATTGCTGAAAAGAAAAAACAGATTAGGCCTCTCACGGCTTTCTTGTCCACAGGATAGG